GGAGATAGGAACTAAGAGGGTGAAGGCTTTGTAGGGTACGGTTACTAAACTAGTTTATAGGGGAGAGGTTTAAAGGAAGCTAAGGATATTTGATTGGGTCGGTAATAATGGGTTGAAATATTTTCTACCCGCCCCGGAACTGAATAAACCATAGACCGAACCGAACAGCTAAAAGTCAGACGATTTAGTCGGTTTTCTTGGTTTGGGTCGACGTTTGCACACCCCTACACTTTTCCTGTTAACCAACTCTTTCCATGATGCTATCATCATGTTGTTAAAGAGGAGTTGTGTTTAGTAAGTTGTTTTGTCCCACATTGCTTATGTAATTAGAACCAGATTAGTCTTCTATTATAAATAAAGATAGAGGCGAGAGGTAAATTACCTCTCTAATCTATCTAATTTCCTTAGACAACATGGTATTAGAGTAATCTAGGTTCAATTCCCACCAGCCACAAATTTAAAGCATATTTCCAAAGAAAATTGATACCGTTGTCACGAGTCCAATTTCGGGTCGACTATGAAAAGTGTCCAAAACCTAAAATTGAGTGTTCATGTTAGAATATAAAATTATCCCAACTGCGGAGTTTTAGTGCACTGGCTGGTACCATCGATACATGCTTATGGGCTTATACTTGGAGCCACCTTCATTGATTCAATCCAGAGTATACTTTCAATTTGCATTGCTGCTAACATCAATTTAGATGTCTCTCTGGATCTTAGTTGCAGTTTTTTATGAAATATTTACTTTCTTAGTTTTTACTGCATTCCAAGTTCGTTGTACTGGTAATAGGGGTGCATTTGTGTTAGCATGGGATTTACCAATTACCATACATTTGAATCATGGAAATGGATACATATATTGAAATATTTCAATTATAAAAATCCATGTCTTATCCAACAGAATCAGAAAAGGATATAGGTATAGATTGGACATGAGTACTGCAAGAATAGGGAGGAACATGAATTTGAATGTGGAGAATACATGTCATGAACCAAATTTGAGGACGAGAAATATACTTACAGGATTTCTTGAAGTAGTTGTTAATCTATATTGCAAAAGTTTATATATATATATATATATATTAGGGAGGAACATGAATTTGAATGTGGAGAATACATGTCATGAACCAAATTTGAGGACGAGAAATATACTTACAGGATTTCTTGAAGTAGTTGTTAATCTATATTGCAAAAGTTTATATATATATATATATATATATATGAGAAATATGGGTATGCTTGGTACCAAGCATAAAAAGTTGTGCTTGGTAATGAGGTGTCAAATCCTCCTCCACTCATTCAAATGTGGGAACAAATTCACATGGGTAGTGAGTGGATGGAGATGTGACACATCACTACCAAGCACAAAATTTGTGTTTGGTACCAAGCATACCCATATTTCTCATATATATATATATTATTATATATACCTAATCTACTTTCACGCTAACTATTTGTCTTAATGATTTGTGCTATATGAGTCAACAAGGGAATTTTTACTTCTGTGTTCATGACACTATATACATATAAAAAATAAAACATTTTTTGACATTTATACACCAGCTAAAGAAATTGCGAAAATATAGCCATACCTTTATATGTATCTGAAGCGTTTTTGACGTGGTTTACTGTGCATATATATATATATATATATATATATATATATTATATTATTATATAATATATATATATATATATATATATATATATATCTATTCCTTTATACAAATAGGAGGATCAAAAGAATAACTGTTCATGCTACAGTAATATTTACTGTGCATTATCATTGTAGCAAACAAGATATTGGATAGTGTAGTAATTTTTTTTTGAAAAAACTGCAGCACACGGGAATCTATTCCTTTATACAAATAGGAGGATCAAAAGAATAACTGTTCATACCACAGTAAATGCTACAGTTATATTTATTGCAACATTTTATTACTGTAGCAAACATGATATTGAATACTGTAGCATTTTTTTTTGAAAAACTGTAGCACACGGGAATACTGCAGCATTTTTAAAAATTGTAATAGAGGGAACTGTAGCGATTCAAAAAATTACTAAAGCGGGATTACTGTAGCAAGGAAAAAATGAAATGCCGACTAGTATATATATACTCTATACAAATGGGAGAGCTCAGGATTCACTATTCATGCTACAGCAAATACTACAGTAGCTTTTACTGTATCATTATTACTGTAGCAAACATGAAGCATTATACCGCAGTATTTTTTTGAAAAAATATTACTGTAGCGCACGAGAATACTACAGTTTTTATTAGCCATGATTCCATGTATAATTCAAGTCACATTACTATATAACTATACCTAGTTGGATTCCTAACTGACACTATTTATCATGGAATCATATCCCTATTGGATATGCATTGTACATAACATTCAGATAGCACTTGGATGATTTTTGGCGTTTCTTTAGTTTGATCTCAATTTTATACATGACTAATTAATCTGGGAGCTTTTTCAAAACTGCTTGGATGAATTAGTGTTACTCTTGAGTATTCCTTTGATATTCACCGCACACATCAAGTTATGCCTTTTCTTGCACGTTTTGACTTTTGGATATATAGAATATGGGTAAGGTGGTTCTAAGGTGATTTCTTAAGCATTTTACCTCAAAAGTGGGAAATCACATCTTGAGCATATGAACGGATGTTCCATACGTCTCATTGTAATTTACATGCCCTACAAATGTTGTGTATACATGTTATTTTGGAACTTTTCACTATAGTTGATGTTATTTTCTCTACAAGTAGAAAAAGGTTCATTTTGCATACACTTGATGCATGATAAAAAAGTATAAAAATTGCATTACTTTTTGTGCTCAACTTTTGTAGTAATCAGATCACATGAATGGGGTGAATTAGCCATTTAGATATTTTGTCGTGTGGTTTCTAAAGGCTCACTTTAGGAATAAACATTTCATGTACATGTTTGCATACTACTTATATAATGATGAATTAGGATATCTGCTAACCGTATAGAAAATTTCTGCACCGTACCCTAAAAAAAATGAAAAATATACAACTATTGAGTGAATGATCACCTTGTACATGATCTCCGTGCTCCTAATTTTGCTGGTCGGAAAGTGATGTGGTTTACATCTTTAATTGGTTTCAAAAGAAATGAACTTTGACCACTTGATCAGTGGGTAATGAATCCTTTAACCTCATGACCATTCATCTAAGGGCATTGTGTGGATATAGGAGATCATGCGCAAGCGTGTTGACCATGCGGTTGGATGGCTGAAATGCTTTCTGGGGCTACAATGCATGAATTTTTCCAAGTTGACAGCAGATATCATGGGATTATATCTGTGTGTGAGTTGAGCTATAGTCCACTTAAGTGCATAAAAGCTCTTGTCCACCTAACTTTTATCTATTGATTTTTCTTTGAGATTCATGCTAGTTTGTGATGCACATCCATGCACGTATCTCAAAGATAACATTGACGACTGATATGTATCACCAATTTCAAAGCAAAATTAATGGATAAAAAGTTAGGGCACTTAAGTGGATTGTAGCTCAATTATACACATACATACAGCTGAGCCTGGACTATCAATGATATTTAACATGCAAGTAGCATCATCCCAAAATTTTAAATCTGCACTTCCAAATTTAAAAATCCAAGTTATTAGATGTAATTTAGATCATGGAAATTACCTGAGGAAAAATTACGTGGTTTTTATGTGTTTTCCCTCATGCATTAAGTGTCGGTAATATAAATTTTCTAAGCTATTATAAAATTGACTAATTTTTCATAACTTGAAACAAGATGTTCACCATCCGACATGGAAATTTTCCATATACCCCTGACATCCGACATTTAGAACACTGACAAGATGAAGTCAATTTAATTTTTATTTATGAGTAACTTTTGAGTTAAACCACATGCAAAGCTTGAATTTCAACTTGGGAGGTCAAGTTCTAAATTCGGGGTGGTAGTAGCACATCCTTATTATAGTGGATAGTGCTCTTGCAAAGTTCTCTATAAATTTTCTCTTATTACTTTTAGAAGACTTTTTCAGCAACTTATTCATGGTCAGATAAGAGTAAAACTTTGTTAGACCGAAATTTAATTTATC